TGGAAATATTTTAATAAAATGAATAAGTTTAATGAGGAAAGAATGGTCTTTTCAGTAATAAATGGTGTTGTGTTAATTGGATATCCACTTGAAAACCAAATAAACTTTGGCTACCACCTCTGTTACTCATACTATACAAAAATCATTTCTGGGTTGGTTAAAGCTCTAAATGTGAGAGGAAAAAAAGCTTTTAGATGGAAACATAAAAGAATGTCTTCATGACTTGGAATAAGTTAAGATTTCTTAAACATGACATAAAGAGTACTAAGTAGGAAAAAATGGTAATTTGGACTATAGTAAAACTGAAACCTTCTGACCCAAATCTGGAACACTGACACCACCACATGCTGATGAGGATGGAGAGCAACAGGAACTCTCATCCATTGCTGGTGGGAATGTAAAATGGTACAGCCACTTTGAAGACACTTTGGTGATTTTGTACAAAGCTGAATACTATACTCTTACCATAAAATCCAGCAGTAATGCTCTTTGGTATTTACCCAAAGGAGTTGAAAACTTATGTCCACACAAAAACCTGCACACTGATGTTTATAGCAGCTTTATTTGTAATTGTCAAAAAGTGGAGGCAACCAAGATATACTTCAGTAGGTGAATGGATAAACACCCAGACAATGGAATATTATTCTGTACTAAAAAGAAATGAGCTATCAGGCCATAAAAAGACATGGAGGAACTTTAAATGCATATTACTAAGAGAAAGAAGTCAGTGTGAAAAGGCGGCATACTGTATGATTCCAACTATATGACATTCTGGAAAAGACAAAACGATGGGATGATAAAAAGATCAGTGATTGCTGAGGAGGGGAGGGCAATGAAAGGCAGAGCACAGAGAATTTCTAGGTCAGTGAAAATACTCTGTATTGTAATGATACATATGTCATTATACATTTATCCAGATCCATAGAATGTGCAACATCAAGAGTAAACCTTAAGGTAGAACTATGGACTTTGTTAATTATGAGCCAATGTAAGTTCACCAGTTGTAACAAATGTACCACTGTGGTGGGAGATGTTGATAATGAGGGCAGCTATTCACCTGTAGGGGCAGGGTGTATGTGGGAAATCTCTGTACCTTCTCAATTTTGCTATAAACTTTAAACTGCTCTAAGAAATTTGCCTTAATAAAAATAAATAAATTCTTCTCATCAAAAGACAATCATTAAGAGAGTGAAAAGGAAAGCCACAGAGTAGGGAGAAGCTATTTGTAATACATATGTTTGACTTAGGACTCATATCTGAATATATATACAAATAAATAAAAAATTATAAAAATTAGCATAACATTTGAGCAGGCTCTTTACTAAGGGAGCCATTACGTAATTAGCCGATATGAAACAGTGCTCAATTTCATTTGTAATCAGGGAAATGAAAATCAAAAGCACAATGTGATGCTAATGCACATCTTCGGAATGGCTTGAAAATGCCAACTGTTGACAAGGGTGTGAAGAAACTAGAATTTTGATACATCACCAGTGACAGTGTAGATTCTTACAACCATTTTAGAAGACAATTTATCAGTAACTGCTAAAGCGGAACATGTCCATAACCTATTCCACTTCTAGGTGTATACCAAACAGGAATGTATAAATGTTCTCATCAAAGATATGTACAGCAATATCCATAGCACTGCTACTTGTAATAGCTAAAAACTGGAAAATACCCAAATGTACATCAACAGTAGAAGATATTTTCACACAATTAAATAATGCTATTCAGCAATGAGAATAATATGCATAACTCTCATTTAAGAATATTAAGTGAAAGACACAAAAGAGTACACAAGCTATAGTTTATTTTTATATAATGCTCAAAAATTGGCTAAATTAATCTTAGAAGTTAAGAATAATACCTTGGAGAGTGGCTAGCGACTGGATATGGGTACAAGGTTGTGGGGAAGGTTGAAATAGTCTCAAGCTATACACTTAAGATTTATCTGTTTCTACATTATCTCCAACTTCAATAAAGCATTCTATTTCTTGATTTGGGCACTGGTTTCATGAGTATGTTTACTTTATGAAAATTCATTAACATGCTCTTATAGGATTTGTGAATTTTTAAGTATATACATTAAACTTCAAAAAAAGCTTACCTAAAATAGAAAAATAAAACAGATGCATATATATTCTTCTAACTCTAAAATCGGCCATGGCCATAAACCATATACAATTTGAAATTGAGTAAGAAGATGCAGGCCCCTTCTCTATGTCAGCTAAGGGAACGTTTCTGACACTTTACTCCTTACACTCATGACAAATATCTACGTCGTCCTATTTTATCATTTTCCCCCAAATTTGCTTAAGATCCTGTAAGAATAAGGGAAGGGGCATAAAGAGGGGAGGGAAAGGCAAGGTTTCAGCAAATCTGGGAGAGTGAGGTATTTGCTTTACTCTCTGGATACTTTTTTATCCACCTTTCTCTCCTTACCTCTTAATTCCACCCTCCAGCCCCCTTAAAAATGATTGCTCAAGTTATTCTTGGTCATTCATTTCTTCTACTTTGATTCTGAATATAAGATACAATATACACAAAGTGTTTAATTTTAATTGGGATGGCTAATAGAGAGAAAGTAGGTAATAAACTAAGCAAAACTGACTGTCATTTCATGATCATTTTGTGAAACGTCTTGAGCAAAGTTTGTGGAGAGTTTATTGTCAAACTCTTTACAAAAGCCTCCGTGTAGGTCACTGAATAATTATAAACAATAGGCCTAGAACCCAAAGGAGTCAAGTTTGAATTTAACTTCCTTTAATCCTCAGTTGTATTTTTTTAAAATGTTTCCTCAACTTTCCAATCTAGAAATGAAAATAATGGTTCCTTCCAATGGAATGAACTGTTTCAAACTACTTACCACTTTATACATTTACTACATTTACTATGTATATTTGCTGTGAAACCAAATATCCACAAAAACGTTTTAAAATAAAGTGGATGTTTCAAAATAAGCAGAGAAAAAAATTTACTTATTTTTATTCTATAATTATATTTATAAACAAAAGATATTCAATCGTTATAACTTAGAGTTTGACATTTTTGCTCTTATTATGTCACCATGATTAGAACATTCCTGAGGTAAACTGAAATTATTGTGGTATAAACAGAAGTGTTTATCTTGGGATTTTATGATAAAATTGAAGACAAAGTATTTTTAAATTACTGCTACAGGCATACCTATTAAGATATTAAGACTTTTTTATTAATCGCAATATTTTAATATTAATATTTCAACCCAGTTCTGTCTGTTGCTCCATTAATTTTGCTACAGTTTCTTTTGTGATAGAATTGTTGAAATGTTCATTCCCTTGGATAAAATCATAAAGAATTTTACTCCAAGAAAAGAGTTTCTTCAGAGTCTCCTGATAGCTTCTGACACCTATTTGGTTAAATTTTAAATTTAAGTTTCTATCATGTTCCCCTTCATTAAGTGTCCTAATGTATTTTGTCGTTGAACTAGATTCTCACTAGATGAGATATTTAATCCACTTACATATGCTTTTAAAAGGGAAAAAATAAGTCATGAGAAACTTTTAACAACTAAAAATCAACTATAATATTTGTCCAAATATTTAATAACACAGTAAGTTAAACAAGAGTTAGAAAGCATGTTACTGCTTGTCAAAATAAAAATTATTTCTCCCATTTACTTATTCCTTAGCCACTGTTGAAATTCCAATTTGTTTCTATTTTTCAGTCTTCTCTTTGAAAGAAGTTAGTAAAAACCAAATAGGCAATCATAACCAAAGATCTCATTCTCATTAACGTATTTCAGGAATGTAAATTTCAATTCTTCTCTGCCTGAGCTATCACAAAGCAAACTAGAGAGTGAAGAGTAAATACAAGCAAGAGAAAGAAAATCAATTAAAGGAGAAGAGAGCAAAGGGGAGCTCAGACACAAATGGGTTAAAAAAAAAAAGCGAAAGAAGAAGTCAAGATAATGCTATTTTAATAGTATCTGAGAGTACACACTGGGAGGCTAGGAAGAAGAGGAATTGTGCTGACCTGTTAGAAATAGGCGGTTTCTGGGAGCTGTCCAATGTACTAACTGAACCGTCATAGTCACAACTTCCCTCCTTAATAGGAATTGATGTCCTCGGTGATTCTTCCCTGAATCAAGGCATCTCTATACCCATCTTTTTAGTCTATTTCTTCTAATCTATATTTGAAATTATTTTCTAACATGTCATCCTGCCCCACCCTGTCTTCTTAAAAATCCCTACACTGAATAATTAAATAAATATAGCTCCTGGCAAAAAAGAAGGAAAAATGAACCATTCTTTGTTAAAATATTAGAGATAATATGAAACCAGTAAAATTTAATTACACCAAACTAAAAATCTTTTTTCATCTCAAAAACTGTTGTAAAAATAATAAAAAATATTCCTTAAATAGAATTCAATGAAGTATAATTTCTGCTCTTCAATCCTGTAGGGCAATACAAATCAACGAGGAAAATAAGCCAGATGGAAGTGTCAGGATTTTTCTTTGTTCACAAATACCGGTCAACGATTTAAAAGTCGAAAGACTTCTCAACAGAGGGTGAGCTGATCAACTCATTGGTTTGTCAAAGGGAAAATCGCATTTCTGTAAGGAGATTGAAGTTGATTTGTTTGCAGGGGTGGGAGGGGCGTTGAAGGTGGGAGGGTTGCTTTGCCTCCCACGCCGGGATTATACAGTAAAGCACGCTCGGAGAAAATATTCTGAGCTTTCCCTTTTCATTTTATTGCCATCATAACTTTTGCCCTCGAAGTAAAATCCTCTGCTTTACCTGAGTAGGAGATAAGAGTACCGAAAGGAAGTCAAGTATCTCAATTGTCAGGCTGATTACGACAAAACAGACTTTAGAAGTCAGGGTTTGTAACGCGGCAAGAGAGCTGTTTATGATGCCCGGGAAGGAGAAAGCCGGTTCCAACAGCGACTCTGGGGAATGCGCTTTCGGCCCCCCTACCGTGCTTACTTAGGCTAATGGGAGATCTTTCCTTTCAGTGGCCGCTGCACTGGGATACCAGACAAACAGCGCCGCTCGACCCCTGGCAGACAGGGCCCCTCTTCAGGACATCATTAAAAGCACATGCACTTGTTTTACACCCATTGCATTGGCAGCCTCGGGTGGCAAGATTCAGGACTCCTACTCTGAAGCCAAGGAGAAGCCAGAGCGGTGGAAAACATCCTCGCTTTGAAAATCCAGAGCTAAATTAAAGAACTACATGAGATAAGGAGCTTGAAGAATATTAGTTGGCTGCAGGGGTGAGGAGAGACACAAAAAGCACAGCAGGTAAGAGCTGGGAGTTGCTGCCAAGAAGGAACTGTCCCAGGTGGCGCAGCGAAAAGGATCTCAGAATTGGAGGCCTGTCCCTTTGAGTCTTCCATGCGTGCTCAAGCTTGTCTTCTTCCATCAGTTTCTAGAGGAAGGACGTTGTCAGAGCCTTCCCTATCCGTGCGACTAATCCTGTTATCAGCTTGGTTATAAATATCAATGGCCCCCAGCCCTTCGGAGACGGTGCCACAATCAGACTCAGGGCTGTTAGGAAGCCCATCACCAGTCTCGCCCCTCCCTGCGAGAAATCGATGAGACGCAGGGCCGAGCCGACGCGATGGCGGCCTATCCGGAGAGCTGTGTGGACGCCACCGTGCTGGACTTCGTCGCAGACCTGTCTCTGGCCTCCCCGGGGCGCCCTCTCCTCTGTGGCTTCGCGCCCGGGGTCCCCTTTGGGGACCGAGACGGAAGACCCAGGAGGCTGGCGCGCTTTGAGGAGGAGGATCCAGAAGACGATGAGGGCGAAGTAGACGAGGAAGAGGAGGAAGAGGAGCACGGCAGAGGCGCGTCCCTGCTGGGCCGCCCCAAGAGGAAAAGGGTGATCACCTACGCTCAGCGCCAGGCCGCCAACATCCGCGAGAGGAAGCGGATGTTCAACCTCAACGAGGCCTTCGACCAGCTGCGGAGGAAGGTGCCCACTTTTGCTTATGAGAAGAGGCTGTCCCGGATCGAGACACTACGCCTGGCCATCGTCTATATTTCCTTCATGACCGAGCTCTTAGAGAGCTGCGAGAAGAAAGAAACCGGCTGAGCCGGGTGGGATGGAGGTGTCTGCCCCCTCCCCGCCTGGGCGCGTGCGGGCTTCGGGTGTATCAGGACCCGGCAGTGGTGCGGCTGAAAGGTTAGGAAAGACGCTCCAAGACAGAATGTCTGACGTTCTGGAGCTTGGTTCGGGATTGTAAAATCCCCACAGCGCTCGAGAAGAGTGGCAGCCGTAGAGTTAATATATACACGATCGCTCTCAATGGAGTGTGGGGCAGGGGCGGGCGGGGCGCGTTAGAACTGGTTAGAACGAGTTGGAGCCGTCGAGGCCTGCGACCTGGAGCAGCTTCTGTGGGGAAGGGGACGGGGACGGGGACCGGGGCGGGGAGCGTGGGAAGCTAATTCTCTCCGCAAACGGCAGACTTCAGGGGCTTCTATGGAGTCCAATCTCTCCGCCTTACTTTTTTTGTTTTTAATAGAAATAATAGAGTTTCCTTTTTTTTTAAGCTTCAAGAGTCGGTGCTGCGACACCCCCTGCACGCACTCGGCTCGGCCCGAGTCCTTAGGGAGGTCCTGGAGCAGAGATCCCCAAGGGTGCGAGGTGCGGGGTCTCCTAAAAGGTGAAGGGATTCCGGATTTCTCATCTGATCTTCTTAGGCTTGTCATCAGACAGAAGGAAAGAGATGAGAAAGGAAGGGGAATCAAGGAAACGGGCGACCTCTGAGAAGGGACAGGATTCTCCCCTCCCCTCCACTCCCCTTCGCTTTCCTCCCCTTAAGCGCAGAACCAGCAACTTTGTTCGGGTCCCTCCAGGACCCCAAGGCTTGAACTCGGAGGTGGGTGGGGCAGCTCGAGCCCACGCGCGGGGAGGGCTTCTGGGCGTACCGGGGGTCTTGGGCACCAAGAGCCTTTGCCACCCGCCTATGCTCCCCCTGTCGCCTCCAGGGAAAGGGCCAGGTCTTCCCAGGTGCAGCATCGCCTGAGCGCGCACTTTTAAATTTTTAGCTGTAGTAGGGAAGATAGTCTTCATTCTAGTTGTATCTAGGGACCGGTGAGGCAAAATAGACAAAGGAGGATATGCATTCTTCAGCTTTGGAAAGATGTGTGTGATGGAGATGAGGTTGAAGCAGGACCATCTTGAGGGGCCGCCTCCAGTTTGAACCCTCTGACATTCTACAGTTCTTCCTTCTGGGCACCTGCTAACGCCTGAACTGGGGTTCTTCAAATAGGAGTACGTAAGTGAGGAGAGGAACGAGAGTGAAACATGCCCTCTTAACTGTAAATTCAGTAATCATAAGGGATCAATCCCGTTATTCCAACATTTTACTTTTCCTATTTTGCACACCCTTGCACGCACACACACACACACACTCTTCTCCCTATAATAATTTTAGAAATATAATTCATTTTATTAAGAGGTAATATATGCTCATCCTAGAGTTTGGAAAACAAAAGTTAAAAAAAGAAACATTTTAAATAACTCCACATTACCACACAGCGTTTTTATCTGTTTCCTTCTGGTCTTTTTTTCTATACAGATATAAATTCAATATATTTAACAAACTTGGGATATTTTGGGATATTGATCTTTTTCCACTCAGCATTATAGAATGAAAACTTTCCCCTTGACTTTAAATGTTATGCAAATGTAATTCTGATTGCTGTATTTTATTGTCATATTGATGTATCACAACTTAACTCCAACTATTTCCATTTAAAAAAGAAATCATGCTGCAAAGAGCACTCATAAATGTCTTCTCTGCCTATGATAATTTCCTGATGTTACATAACTAGAAATGAAATTGCTACAGCAAATGAACATTTAAGTTTGTGGCTAAATATGGCCAGATTGCCTTTCAGGTAGGTTCTGCCAGTTCACACTCCCTCCCACCAGCATTGCAGGAATTTGCTGTTCCTTAAGAGCCTTCATTTAAATCTTCCTGGTTCTCCTACTTATAGGAACTGGATTCCTTCTGAAATGACCACCCTCTCAAAGATGATTTCTCATTTTGACTTTGTCTTTTCACCAAGAATTTTTCCACTTCTATCATAAGAACTTCAGGATAAACAGACAAAAGAAAAAATGTAACTAGCTAAGACCAAACAACAAGAAAACCAGGGAGTATATATTTTAAAATTCTCTACAGCCTTTATTAAAATAAACTGAAATTTGGACAATGACCTCTATACCAGTTTTACAAAGTAAGATTACTCATTTTCTCTTCTTTATCTAGACAACTTTTTGGCTACTCAGACTAGAGTATCTGCATTTTTAAAGATAAATTTAAATTTACTCATTTCAATATGTTAAGGAAACGTAACTATTTCTCAACTTATCATTAAACAGTATTCTCCTCTCTAACTTCATATGGAGTGCTAGTAGCTCCATCAGTGCCTCATATTTATGCAATTATTGATTTGTTCAATTAAAAAAATGTGTGAACATTTTACATATAGTGTGAATGGGTTCCACATTGAAAGAGCTTACAGAAGCTCCAGTCTTTCTCCCACTTAAAGTCTTCCCGAGAATTAAACATCATTTTTTAAAAATCTGCAAGTGTTAAATAAGTTTTAAAAAATGGTTCAATTCGAGGAATCATTAATGTTTTGTTGAAAGAACCAATTCTGAAAACCAGATTTAAAAAAAACTGTGTAGACAATGACTTCAAAATCATTGGATCCTGAAGAGTAAATACAACCATCCATCATCCTTAATCCTCTCCCACATACTCTGAACCATTCTGTTATATTCGTAGTAAGTACATAATATCCTACAGTGAACACCTTTTCAGTATAGTAAATAACACCTAAAGACTCTCTAAATAAAAAGCTATTGCTCCGTTATTACTAGAAGATTTATGTCCATAATTCTTAAAACTGTTACAGTTTATAAATGCTTTGTTCTTTGTAAATTTTTTATATGTTTAGAAGCTGCTCTAAAATGTAAAGTCTTTTAAAACTGTTTCTTAATCATTGTACTAATCGAATAATTTGAAGCCAAATAAAGATGAGAAGCACAGGGAAAAGGATTGACTTATTTCTTACACCAAGTCGTCCATAGAGGTCACACAAAATGGTCTGCATTTCAGACATGAATCCACTGCACCTCCATACCTTGACACTCAACTTTTCTCAGCAATGGGATAGTTTTAGTTTTCCCCATGTGAGATCCATAAATTCAGTTTACTTTTAAACACAAATGTTTTTAGTATATAACACACTCTATGTTAAAACTATTTTATTCTTTATTATCTTCTAAACCAACAATGATAGAAATATCAGTAGACACTGGTTTTTCAATACCTTCCACCAGTTAAAAAAAATCTATTGGTGTCAATTACTTCTGGAAAATTGTGATAATTGGTTTTTGAAATTTTAAAGTTAGTTAGACACTTGGAATCTAAATATCATTTTAGATGTTGCTTGGAGGCAGTTTATTTATACACTTTTTACTGACTGAAAACTGCCTTTTGGTCTCAAACTAAGTTCCCCATAACTATCAGGTTACTATTAGCATTCAGACATGTAAACCAAAAAAAGATCTAAATGAAATCATATTTGAAAGACATAATCAGGCTTTCCAAGGAAAGTAAAAATAATCAGAAACCAATCATCTTTTATAGTTGCCCAATATGAAAGCAGATTTTTGGCAAAAGTAGCCCTGGAAATTGAACCAAATATTTTGCTACTATGCATAATTCCTGCATGAAAATACACTTAAGACCCTTGTATTGGTGTTTATTATTGCATTTGTCAGCATTTCCATTACAAAAATACTATTGTGGAAGGTTTATAACATAGCTGTACAAATTCTAAGATGAAACTTGATAAGCACAGTTTAGCACACTTTTTTGTAATTGCAAATCTTCAAAGAAAATTTCAAAGGTAATGAAGACACTTAAGTAGATTTTACATGTGAGGTTCCAAAATATACCAACAACTGTAAAAACCAAGATATTCTATTTAATACAAAATATAAATTAGATTATTATTTTATTTTTATCAAAAATAGCTGGCTGATTAACATTAAATTTTAAATACTAAACCTACTTTTTATAGGATATTATTGCATTAAATTATATTTTAAATGTGTTAGGAAACTGTTGATATTTTGGTATATATCTGTATCTTGGCCCAAGTTCACTCAAAGGTTCCTGAACTTTGCCAACACTTTGGGTGAAGTTAGGCCCAATTTCTCGTCATCGCCCTCTCTTCCTGTGAATGCTGGACTAAAAAAGCTTACAAAACACGAGTCAGCAGTTCTGACCATTTTGTTTTGACTTTGGGGTTTCTTTGAATCCAAAGCTCAAAACCAAACCTGGCGAGGAGGAGAAGGAAAGGAAAGAAGCAATGCAAACTGACAGGAATAAAATACCAGAAGGATGGAAAAACTTCTTCAAGTCTCTATAAACCAAAGCCTATGAATTTCCGTAACTTTCTCTGTGACACCAAATTTTTAGTTCTGTGCCTAAAACATGTTCCATCAATGAATATAAGGAAATGCAAAGAATAATAGGAATGTATTTTAAAACACTCTTTATGGCTAATATTTGGTAGAATTCCACCCTTAATTTTGCACAAGGCAAAGAACTTTTAATATTCAGTGAAATCAAGAGTTTTACAAATATGATAAAAAATTTTCATCATAAAATATCTTATAGTAACTCAGTGCTTTATTGTTTTCAAAGCACCATCCACATACTTTCTTTCAATTGATACTGCCAACTGGCTTTCAACAGGATCTAGAGCCTTTAAGTTAAATTGAGTCATCACTGTAGCATCTTAAAAATTCATTCTCTCATGGAAATCAGCATGATACCAAGGTTCCTAAAAAGAACCAATGGTCACATATAAGCAACACATCTCTTTGAAAGATATTGCCTTCAAAGATCAAAAGCACCTTAACAAACTCTGCGGATGATAAATTATACAAAAGGTTGATATGGTCTGACTCCCTCAAAGGCCAAATTTTACAACCTTCTATTTAGGGCTCTGTGAAGGAGATTTCCACCTGCAGCCAGCAAACATAGATGACCTCAAAGCTGTTGTTATGGACAGCTTTTTATGATTTCCAGTCTTCAAAAGGGAGGAAAATATCTACGAGAATATAGAAGTAGATCAAACAGTTGGTGAACAATAAAAGATAAGAACTTCTTATAAACATGTTTGAAGGAATGAATAAATGTGATTACACAATTATTTTACTGCAGATAATTTTGTGACTTCTTCAAAACTTAGTAAAATCA